TACACGCCGACGATCCAGAAGCACCAGAAAAGGAGGCCATCCAGCTGGGGCCACGATCAGCGCCACGGGCGGCCGCCTGCCGTCCTCCGCTGGACCCCACGATGGAAGCACGGCAGCGGCGGCTGACACTAGCAGGGCGCGCAGTCGTGGAACTCCAATGTCATGAGCACACATTCACGTGCTTCAAGGGCCGGCACCACATCTGCTGCCGCATGGGCTGCCGTGCGATCTGCAGCCAATATCCCGGACGACCAGCACAGGTGCGCTACTGCTCAAGCGGCGCGGGCAGCGGCTCAGCACGTACAACAGAGCGCTCATGTACGCACAACCGTGCAACCAGTCGTGGTCTCTCACGTTCGAGGTCAGCAGAAAGTTGCAGGACATCCGTGAATGGAAGAAACAGCACCCCGATGCTCCGCCGGACAATCCTGATCAGCCCACACTCGACAGCATGCCTGTCATGGCCACTGCGGCAGGCAACTATGCAACGAATTACGGCACCAAACTAGAAGGCCACAACCAGAGCGTGGCCGCAGCGCAACAGCAGGACCTTTTGGAGGATCAGCAGGCCCACCGGACACATGCACCCGACCGGCCGCCTCCCCCAAACGAGCACCGAGACCTGGGCCGCTTCCGTGTAGCTCACGCCAACAACCACCTCATCGGCAGCTACACGCGCCCCACCTCGCTGCTGGCGCTGCAGGCGGAACAGGGGCGCAACTCGCTGGAATCACACACATACCACTCCCATGACCTCCGTGTGTATAAAGCCCTGCTTACCGCAGCAGCGCCGCAGGGAGCGGATGAGGAGGCGGCCTCCGTGACGCCGGAGTTTGTCGTACACGACGAGCCAGCCGCCGATGACGGCACTGCACGCCTTACGGTCGTCGATCACGGTGTCGACTATCTCCACCGGGGCGCGCTGCTAGCGGCGTATTCACCCATCCTCATGACGATGTGGTTTGACAAGGTGCGCCTCATGACCACTCCACGCGATCGTATGTATGGCAACACTACAGCCCACCGTCCGCTGACAGCTGTGCTCCCGCCCGCTGCCATTTTTGCAGGTCCGCCGCCCGTCCAACTGCCGCGGCGCCTACCCTGCCGCATACGCGCCCCTCGCTGATAGCCACCCGCAATTCAACACGCACTGCTGGCACCAGCGCACGACGCCATCTCTGCCACGCACATATGGCGAAGTCCCACTGCCGCCGAATGAGGATGGCAACACAGAAGATAAAGAGGCCTACGCGGTGTGGGCACTAGGCAACTTCGGGTCTTACAGCGCGGGCACCGTACCACAGTACGGCACTTTGTGGCAGACGCTGCAGCATGCATACAGCGGCCGCAGCACG